GCACGGGGATCTAGACGTTCCAGCCATGCCCACACACGCACCTCTTCACAATCACGTTCCCATGCTTCATCTTCAAGCAGCGTGAGGAGCCGAGCCAACAACGAGAACGACAAGCCGAGTTTGATCGCATCATAGCGGAAAAGGAGAGCGAGAGAATACTTCAAGAGGATCACCAACGTAAATGCGCCCGCGTGCAACACACGAGAGATATGGCGCTGCTGGCTGCAGACAAAGCTGCAGCGGTAGCAGAAGCTAAATTGAAAGCCATCGAACAGTCAATCGCAGAAGAAATAACACCACATTTGCCAGAAGGAATCGAACAAGAAAATACAAGATCACGCACACAAAACTGGGTAAACAATCACGAGCAAAACCAGCAGGATGAAAACGTCCCAGTTGGTGCTGCCCCACCTCTTGAACCTCCCACGCCCACAGCTGACGGTCCCGTCAGAACCAGTCAAACGCATCTGGAAACACAACCCATGTTGAAACACTTCACAAGAGAGAAATCCAAGATCGAAGTAGCGGACCGACACCGTGGAAATTGGTATAGGCTTAGCCGCAATTCTCGATACTTAGACTTCAAACTTGGTGAGGAAAAAGATTTATAAATATTCAAGAAAATATGTCTTGCACAAAAGATTTGAAGCTTGCTCACGGTAAAAACGAATCGTCTGAATTAATAACCTTGTGTATACTTTAAGCCTCAAAATGGCCATTTATTCACAGCGGTCAGATGTGTATGATGAGCTGTCAAAAGATTGCAGAATGCGTATTCAGAAGAAAAATTAAACTTTTTTAAGATATTCAAAAGGTTTCTCTTTGATAGGGCGATACAGAAATGCACAATTGTGAACCAGCGATTAGATTTTCGGGTTGAAACGTCTTAAACACCAATTTCTGCGGTGTCTAGCGGACCCACCAACGCAAACCCCACAAGGATTTGCAGGAAATTTCCCGATTTTCAAACCAGGGCATTTGCATCAGGAGCCGGGGCCCAGCAGACATGTTGAAATTTTGGAGACCACCAACGAGAAACTAGTGTCCCCCTAGCAAGACAGAATCTTCCTAAATGTCATCCTGACGTTTCGAAGGTGAGCCAACCCTTTTTCACCCCTGGAGAAGATCCTTCGCCGCCATGATCCTGGACGCGAATTTGAACCCCGCCCAAGAAATGGCCTACCTACGCAATTACACCGGAGGAAAGGTACTAGTCTTGGTTGACAACTACAGGAGACGGCAACACGCTGATACTGGAGAGACTTTAAGAGAGCTCTGGTTAGAGATCGAGCGGAGATTCGGTAATGTTGCTGTTATTACCAACTCATTATTAGAAAAGTTGCAGGAAAACGCAACGTTCGGTGGGAGAGACAAGACAAAGTTACAAAGGTTCGCAGATATTTGCACTGACGTGGAAAAACAAATGTGTCATTTGCCCGGGTTGGCGTGCCTTAATTATGCAAGCGCGATTCGCCCCGTAGTGGAGAAATTGCCCAACTACTTAAGATATAAGTGGGAGAAACAGGTAGTGGACTACGCCGAAGATCACAACGATATGTATCCAGAGTTCAAAATATTTGCGTCTATGGTTAGGAAACAAGCAAAATTGCAAAATCACCCCAACGTCGTCGCCGGGGGAACTCAAGAAAGCGGCAACGACACCCAAAGGAAACCTAGAAAAGACGGTCGGTACGAATCAATCCACAACCGAAGAGTCTTCAAAACCAACATGACACTCGGGAAGGAGAAAGAACAATCAACGGAGAAACACTGCCCCTTCCATGAACGAAAGGGGCATAGTCTAAGCGAGTGTAAAGCCTTCAGTAGCAAGACACTAGAAGAGAAAACCGATTGGATAAAAAAATCAGGTTTGTGTTTTTGCTGTCTGGTTGGAAAACATCACGCTAAACTATGTAAGGAAAGCATCGCGTGCGATATATGCCACAGCAACCTCCATCCAACATTGTTACACAAGGGCAAGGACGTGGAAGATCAAACAAATGAGAACAATAGCAACAAGGAAGAAAACGGAGAGGAACAGCTGAATTCCAAGTGCACGTCTATTTGCAAGGGAAAGGCAGGAGGTGTATCGTGCAGCAAAATAGTTCTTGTTGATTTGTTCGCGAAGAGTCAACCCAACAAAACCTTCCGCGTTTACGGCATTATGGATGAACAGAGCAACGCGTCCATGATTACCCCTGACTTAATCGAAAGGATGGACGTTAAGGCCGAATCAGCGGATTAGTTGCGAGAGGGCTAAATGGAAAATGGTCGCCCGAGATTTGTGATCCCTTTCCCCATTTACAAGAGATTTCTTCCAAAATCCCTCCAGTTGATCACGATGTCAACATAGAGATCCTCATCGGAAGGGATGCGCCAGAGATTCTAAAGGTGAGACACTTAAAGAACGGACCACCGGGAGCACCATGGGCGCATAAACACATCCTTGGTTGGACCCTATCGGGAGAGGTATGTCTAGACTGAGTAGCAATACCAGTACATATTTCATCCTATCGGACGGAAATCGAATCCCCCTCGGAACCTAAACCACACGGAGGTCCAGCGATCGATGACGTCGACCACGATCCAAAATCAGAGCATATTCCCTGCCCCAATTACTTCCGAGTGAAAGAACAACAGAATGAGAGGGCCTTCACTTCGGAAATAAGCAGAGACGTCTTCATCAAAACGAACCAGGATGAAGAGCCAGCCATGTCCGTGGAAGACTGCCGATTCCTGGAGATCATGGAAAAGGGAATACATAAAAATGAGTCTGGAAATTGGGAGATGCCTTTGCCTTTCACTTCTCCCGAGATAGTCATGCCTAACAACAAAAAACAAGCATTGGACCGTCTCTACAACCTAAAACGTTCCTTTCACAAGAAGCCTCAAATGCAAAAGGATTACGTTGAGTTTATGGCCAAGATCATCGCCAGAGGACATGCTGTTCCAATCCCACCAGAAGAAGTCGAAGCCTTGGGAAAGAGAGGAAAGGTCTGGTACCTCCCTCACTTTGGTGTCTATGCGTCTAAGCGTCTAAGAAACCAACCCAAATACGCGTCGTATTCGATTCATCGTGTGAGTTAAAGGGCGTTTCCCTGAACAAGGTCTTGCTATCAGGCCCGGACATGATGAACAGCTTGATCGGCGTGCTCATGAGATTCAGACTGGAAAGAATCGGTGTAGTCTCAGATATTGAACAGATGTTCCACTCCTTCTACGTAACCCCAGAGCATAGACTACTTGCGTTTCTTGTGGTTCAAAAACGACAATCCCAATCAGGAAATACAGGAGTTTCAGATGAATGTTCACATCTTCGGGAATGGTCCCAGCCCCGCGGTGGCAACCTTAGGGCTAAGAGTGACAGCTACTCACGGCGAGGAGGAGTTTGGAAGTGATGTCAAGGAGTTCGTTTGTAGGGACTTCTACGTGGACGACGGCCTGACATCAAGAAAGACCGAAGCAGAAACCATAGACCAGATCAAAAGAGCTCAGACGATCCTGTCCACCGCTAATCTGCGATTGCACAAGATTGCCTCTAACTCGGTCACCGTAATGGAGGCCTTCGATACCGAAGACGAAAGCGAAGAATGTGAAAGATTTGGAACTACGTCAAGACACCTTGCCAGCCCAGCGATCACTTGGTGTTCTATGGGACTTACAAAACGATACGTTCACGTTTAAAGTGAACCTGCAAGAAAGACCCTTCACAAGGAGAGGAGTGCTGTCGGTGATAAACTCATTGTACGACCCCCTCGGTTTAGCGGCTCCCGTGATTCTGGTCGGAAAGTTATTACTGCAACAGCTCGTCGCAATGGGAAAGGAAAAGACCGGTCACTCGGATGGGATGACCCGCTGCCAGAACACCTGAAACGTAAATGGGAGACTTGGAAGGATGAACTTACTAAGTTGGAGAATGTTGCTATACCCCGCTGCTATCACCCTGAGGACTATGATGAAGTCGAACACAATGAACTCCATGCTTTCTCCGATGCCAGCGAGGAGGCTGTTGGCACGGCAGTCTACCTTAGGCAGGTCGATAAAAGTAAAAGAGTTAGTGTGGCCGAGTTAGTGTAGCCTTGGTTTACGGACAAGCGAAGGTTGCGCCGATACAACCTACAAGCATTCCACGACTCGAGTTATGTGCCGCCATCTTGTCAACCCAAGCCATCAGCCGAATAAAGAAAGAACTAGTCGATCTAAAGATAGAGATGGTGACTTACTACACGGACTCAAAAGTGGTGCTGGGGTACATCAATAACGAGGCCCGCAGATTTTACGTGTACGTGGCGAATCAAGTCCAATACATCAGGAGTATGTCGGAGCCAGCCCAGTGGAAGTACGTCGGCACATCTGAAAACCCAGCAGATTTAGCGACGCGCCGGAAGAACAAGCTGAAAAGGTGATCATCAGAGCGACACAAGGAGAACTCTTCGCGAAGGAAATACGTCTGTTGAATGAGGAGAGCAGTCAACAAGTTAGTCGTGTCAGCGATACGAGGAGAAAGGAACTGCTGCGTAAATCAGATATTAGGCAGCTGAGTCCGTTCTTAGATCAAGAAGACATCCTGAGAGTTGGCGGTCGGCTACACCACTCGGACTTGTCCTTTGCAGAATGACATCCAATACTGCTCCCAAAGAATCACAACGTAACGAAGTTGATCATTAGACATTACCATCAAAGAGTCCATCATCAAGGCCGAGTCATTACACAAGGCGAAATTCGTAGGGCTGGATATTGGATCGTTAGCGGTCACAACCAGATAAGCACAGTGTTAAGGAGCTGCGTCACATGTAAGCGATTGAGAGGGAAATGCCTCACACAACGGATGGCTGATTTGCCGGCAGACCGGTGTCACGCGAAATTTATGACTTGCAAAATATATGAGTGTCGCGGTTCTGGGCATTAATACCTATGAATTTGCCGTTGTTTTGGCCATGTATTAACACTATAATTTTAATGACTTAGGCTTCAGTGGAAGATGTGCTGCACTTCCTTAAATCAGGACGCCAGGCACCAACTCATTTTGCCACTCTGGACAAAGTCGCAAGGAGAAAAAATATACACACGCTCTCCCAATTCTCAAGAAACTTTAAATATGAAGGTATGTCTAGGCATTTAATAACTTTGCAGTGAAACATCGCATCATAATAATGTGTGATATGATCTTATAAATTTTATTGTTTACTTGTTTTATAGCTCTTATTATTCATTTGGCTTGAGTGGAATTTATTTTATCTTTATTTGATATAATTTGGCTTGGTATCTTTTGGCAAGCTGTTCAGCTATAAATAGAAGCTGTAAGTTACACAACAGGGGTAACTCTTAGCTTCCTCTACAGATCTCTATATTATATCATATCATGTATGATTGTTCCTCTGTGTCTTAGAGTAAGACAAATTATTTTTCGAGAGACCTGTGGTGGAGGCTAGGTATCTCTGTCTACTTAGGCTATTAACTATAAGTTAAATTTATCTATTTATTTTTTTATATATTAACCCTTTTTCATATATTTAACCCTGAAAACTTACACACATGCCAATGTTTGAACCATACATTATTCAATCAGATTTTAGTGACACTTTGTACTATGTGGGTAAGCAAGGAAAAAATCATTTGAATACGAAAAAGGTTAAAGTGCTATGTACAAGAGATGAGGTTAGTATATATCATGTAATACATGTAATAATTTTATATATTCTGAATATAGTAATTGCATGACAAAGACAATATAGTAAGCATGAACATGTAATTATTATTGTATTTAGTTTAATAGTTGAATATGAACATTATGAGACAGCACTTGGTTCATTGATTGTGTGATAAATTTTGTTCCAGATTGAATGTGTGCTCAATGATATCCATGGCAATGGGACAACAGGTGGGCACATGGGAGAGAAGCGCACACAGGCAAACATCACAGAGCGGTTCTACTGGAGAACCATGCCTACTTAAGTGGTTTGGCAGAGCGTAGAAATGGTGGAGATGTCCTTGCAGCTGAATGCTACATTTCACAGCTCGTGCATCGTAATTCTAGCACACGACGTACTTGGTCGGACAAGAATTTTTCCCTAAGCAGGATGATTCTTTTCCCAATCAACTTGAATGGAAATCAATGGACCCTATTGGTGAGTATAAAGTTGACCTAGCAAAACCCCTCCTTTTCCTGATCCTGGACTTGATCAAATTCTGATATATCTTCCCCAGGTTTTTGACAAAGTTGGTAAAAGAAAAATTTACATTGATCCACTCAAAACTGGAAAGACATCTGGCTTAATGGGTCATATTAAAAAACTGAGGTACAACAATTTTATTATTACTTTGCAATATGTCAAATTTCTTTTGCATTTTATGAGTTTACATTAGTATACACATTTCATTATATTTCATAGCGAATTGGTTGATGTCAAGACTGGATGGAAGACAAAAAAGTGGCCATGCCTCCATCCCCAACATTGCATGCAGCATGATAGCCATAACTGTGGAGTATATGTTTGTTTTGTAAGTTTTTACCATGTTTTTTACAATCAGTTTTAGAAATTGAGCAAATATATGCAGTTGTTGTAATTATGTATCTAAAATTTTGCTCCACCTATATTATGTTGTATAGTTTGCACGCTGTTTGGTTGAAGGTTTGGAGCTGACGGAACAAATAGACCCAGAGAAAGAGAGAAAAAACATACTCTCTTCTATTTGTGGTTCCTGTTATGATGATGTAGGCAGGTAAATTGTAATTAAAAATTGACTATACTCAAATGCGCTGCCAGCCCTTCCATCAACAGTTGACAACTAGTTGCTTAACTACAGTTTGGAATTTTTTTCGCAGTGCTGTTGAGAGAAATACGGGTGTTTGCAAAATTTGCAGGAAGGATGATGGGGAAGACTGGCTTGGGTGGAACCGTTGTTACCAATTTTTCCATGCCAGTTGCAGAGGTGTGGACTTTGCAATTGCACTTACAGGAAAATTTTATTGCTGATGTTGCAAGGTGCATATGTAAATAAGATGTAAATTTCAATGATGTAAATAAGTTGTAAATAATGATGTAAATGAGGTAAAACTGTACAAATTATCTTGTCAGAAATTAAATGAAGCAATGTACCTTTATAGTACCCAGTATTTCATGAAATAACCACCCTATTAACCAACTACTTCATTACCTAACTGACTAGAGCTAGTACCCAACCACTCTAGTACCCAGTAATTTATGATCTAACCACCCTATGAAAACTACTTCATTACCCAACTGACTCTAGTACCCAACCACTCTAGTACCCAGTAATTTAGGATCTAACCACCCTATGAAAACTACTTCATTACCCAACTGACTCTTGCACCCAACCACTTTAGTACCCAGTAATTTATGATCTAACCACCCTATGAAAACTACTTTATTACCCAACTGACTCTATTACCCAACCACTCTAGTAATTTACAATCTAACCACCCTATTAACCAACTACTTCATCACCCAACTGACTCTAGTACCCAACCACTCAATTCAACCACTCTATTACCCAGTAAATTATAATCTAACCACCCTATTAACCAACTACTTCATTACCCAACTGACTCTAGCACTCTAATACTCTTCTGTGTTCATGGAGGGGGTACAGCGCAACGAAGACCCTGGTTAGATAATATAATACTGCGCACTACAGTGGTTGGGTATTAAAATAGTTGGGTAATCAAGATAATAGCAAAAGTTTTCCACGATTCTGCAAGATCATGGCAAAATCTTCCAATATTCTGCATGATCATGGAAAAAATTTTGATCATGGATCTTGCAGCTTGCGGGATCATGACAAAATTCTTGCAGGATCCTGCATGAATGATCATGGACATGGTAAAATCATGACAAATATCTTGCATGATTTAAAAAGGTCTTAAAAAGATCTTGGCAGGATCTTGTGTAAGGTCTTGATAGAACTTGACAAGTCAAAGTCAAGTTCTTAACAAGATTGTCAACCTTGGACAGTTGGACTGGGTTAATGGGTTAATATCGTATAAAACATGCCGTTTATACTTGTTCAAATTCGATAATCTAAAGTATTTTAGCGATGTAAATAGCCTTCAATGAAGTTTTATCTGTTCTAGTGAATCTTTGTTTTACACTCATTCTCGATAAAACTTACTAAAATTTTGATCAAAATTAGCCAAAACAAAACAGTCGCACTCGGCCGCAGGCTGCCGAAATCATAGATTTTGCAATTGTCATGTTTTTGCGCGAGTAAGCCGCGAAATTCGTGACTCGTCAAGCATGGTCATGTTGCATTTTGCAATGGTCATAAATTTCGCTTGACACCGGGCAGAAACAGGACCCCCTTCTCTAATGTGGGGGTGGACGTTTTTGGTCCTTGGATAATTCAAACACGAAAGTTACGAGGCAAATCTTCCGAAGTCAAAGGCTGGGGAGTCCTCTTCACGTGCCTCGTAAGCCGAGCAGTTCACCTGGAGGTACTCCATTCGATAGACATCGGTTCGTTCATTTGTGCCTTACGCCGTTTTATAGCTATTCGGGGACCCGTGGCTCTCATTCGGTGCGACTGCGGGACAAACTTCGTCGGCGCAAAATCGGACTTAGCGAAAGCCCTGAACGAGATGAACGAGCGAGAAATAGCGAGATATCTACGAGACCAAGAGTGCAAATGGGCGTTCAACCCGCCCCATGCTTCCCATTTCGGGGGAGTATGGGAGCGACAGATTGGAACGATAAGACGGGTGCTGGATGCAATGTTGTTGGGAATTGGTAGTTTTCAACTAGATGACGAGTTACTAGTCACGTTAATGGCAGAGGCGTCGAGTATAGTGAACAACCGGCCGATAAGCGCAATTATGACAGACACGGAGGAACCCATCCCCTTGACACCATCCACGCTCTTAACGTTGAAAAGGCAACCTGTTTTGGCCCCTCCTGGAAAGTTCGTCGCTGAAGATGTGTATGCTTGAAAGCGATGGCGAATCTCCAAAAGAAGAAGAAATGGATTGACGAGCAACAAGATTTAGTTGACGGGGACATAGTCCTCATGAAAGACAACAACGAACTGCGAAATGCTTGGCCTATGGGAATAGTATGTGAAGCAAAATCAAGAGTGCCGACGGAAAGGTGAGAAAGGCGAAAATCGAACTGTTTCGAGAAGGAGAAAAAAGGATTTTTCTACGTCCAATCGGGGAGCTCATCTTGTTGATGGAGAGAGACAGAGATAAGTCGACTAGATAATTGTTCAAGGATTTGTAAATCATTGGGCGAGGAGTGTAATGTATATGTCGAATTTAGTTTAGCCCAGTTGATCAATAGCTTCACGCGCGTGATCCCGCGGGACTCTAGTGTGAGAAAGGAGGGACGCGGCGAGGCACTTTCATTTTAGGGAATTGTTGTTTGCGATACGTTCATTTTGTATTTTTATTTCATTATTCTTCGACATTGATTGGACCATTTTAGTCTTGGAGAGGAATAGAACGTTAGTATAAATTATGTAGTTTCTCAGTATTTATGTATGTATTAGTCTATCAGTTGTAATATGTTTATGTGTTGTTATTATAGTTTCACCGCTTCGAGTTATAAATATTATACGAGTTTATATTGCTCAGTGGTTGACACTTCTCGATCTCCGGCGAGAAGCCTTACGGGTTACCTCATCGGGAACGCGACAATAGGTCAAACCACGCGTCATCTACACACCAGAATATCAGAGCACTTGGGAATATCATCTATCACTGGTAAACAGACCTCAAGCCCTTTTATGTCCAGTATACATTCTCACCTAAAGGCTTGCGGACACCCGGCTAGCTTTGACGAATTTAGAATCCTCTCTTCCTCATCTGACTCTTACGAGCTAGTGATACATGAGAGTCTCCTCATCACCAAACTTAAGCCTTCTCTTAATGTTCAAGGCAACTCTATCCCTGTCAATTTATTCTAGTCCTTACTTTGTATTGTCATCGTGTCGTGACGTCTCTGTCCCTTGTCCCCTGATGTACTGTTTGTCCTTACTTGAAAATAAATACATGTTTGTCCATACCTTGTAAATATATTATTAGTCTACATATTCAAATTATGATGTAATTTATCATTTAGTCTAAAGATGTCGTAAGTTAAGACGAAACGTTACAACCAAATATATTCTTATTACTCGCAAATGGTTTAATTGTCTCTTATGGCTTTACTGAAAGCACTATGTTGGGCTTTAATATTTATATTTCGAATACGCTTCCCACCCGGCACGTCTCTGGCAACAGTACTACCATTTGCATATTATAGGCCAAGCAAAGGATGTCAGACAGAATCTCTTTTTAGAAGAGGCTATCGGAGTCTCACCAAGAATAGCAACAGGTAAGAAATACTTATGGAAAAATATTTGAAGTTAACATACCAGAATCTGTACGATTTGAATCAAGCACAGAGTTTCATTGATATAGACTCCATGCAAGAGCATGTCAACGAAGATGTTTTTCCCCAACATAGTGTCCTGGGAAAGGTTATTTTCATTTGACCTGTCTGGGGTTAAAACGTGTCCCAAGGAAATGTTTATGGTAAGACCTTAATACACTTGAATATAGGTCTATAGTCAAGTTATACAGTATGTTCTTGAAGCACAAAATTATATGTGTGATTAAGGTAGCATTACTTAGTCCTAACTTCCAAATGGTCCTGC